TGACAGATGACCAAGTTGGCCCCCGAGTCTTTCAGGTGTTGGATCATCTCTGTGAACTTCTCTTTTTCATAATCTTGTAGCTTCTTGAATTCTTCGACCGATGTAATATCAAGCTTATGCTTCGTCTTCGGCTTGGGAGGTTCGAACGGGCAGGTAAGGATGGCCAATTTAGCATCCTTAACTTCATCAGGCATCTGAGGGTGAGAGAAATCCTTATCGACAATGACACCCTTCACAAGCAATGAATCTTCGAGAGCTCCGCCCACTTTTCCGTCAACCTTGATCAACTCGAAATCGACATCTTTACGTTCGAGATCCGCAACAGAGAGGACAGCATCGATGGCTATCTTAGCAAACTGATCGTGAGACTTGGAAACACTAAAACCTATTAGCACCGGAGACTAGTAATATAACAGAGCTGGAATCACTGTCGTACATTTTGCTACCCAGACTAGTCTTAGCGACCTTCAGTAGGTTGGAAGTGTCTTCCTTAGTAAAAGGGATCTCGTCACTAATCTTATCGAGCTGTGCAACAGCAATCTCACAGGCTTGATCATAGCCATCTGCGATCCGAATGGGATGGATGCCCTTGTCGATGAGGTCAGATGCCTGTTCCAACATGGCTGCCGCCAGGACGACAACACCCGTTGTTCCATCACCAATTTCTTCGTCTTGAGACTTCGAAAGTTCCACTAGCAGCTTAGCAACATTGTTTGTGATTTCCATCTTCAAAAGTCTCCAGGTTAGCTGTCTTCCGGTGAACGGTGGCGGCACTGCGGACGAACCTGGGACAGAATGGTTGCGCCATCGTTGGTCACGGTGATATCGCCATCTGGGGAAATAAGAATCTTGTCGAGACCACGAGGACCCTGTATCGTTCTTAGATGCTGTCGAATGGCAAATCCACGTCCAAATCATACCAGAGAAGTCTTGACAATGTTGGCAACAGTTTTAGCTGCAACAATATGTGATTTCACGGCATCGGTGCCATGTTGTCTCTTCTTCTTTCCCTGACTGTATAAATCCGTAATATTAGCCATTTTCCCAGAAATGATCGTGACCCTCCGCATATTAAAAGTGTTGGTCCGCAACGTACTCTCGAACGACGATGAACGGCCGACCCTGTTCATCTTTCATCACAGAGGCTATAGGACTGTCAGCGGAGACCCCAAAGGCATATGATCATTGATATCACGGTAAGATGTTACCTTGAGACAAATCAAGCTCTGTACAAAAGGAGAAGAAAACGTCAGTAGATCAACTTTCAATGAGGGGCAAGGAAGACATACGCATCGCCATTTTGTCGGTCTGCCACACGGCAGGAGTCCAAATTCAAATTTTTTTTGAAGAAGACAAAGAACACGGCGTTAGTATAAACAGGGTTCCCCAAAGCACGTTATCAAAGCGACGTGGGGAGTTCAGGGGCCTGGACGCTCTTTCACACTGGACGGGGTCTTTTTTAGAAATTCTGGAGATGTTCTCATGTCCCAGTCGGGGCTAGTGAGCTGCTTTCCATATCGGGTATAGCGCCAATCTACATTCACGCGACTGCGCGACTCGAGTAGCACTGAAAGCAATCATTATCATCAATCACTCCTTAGCGCTAATCTCCATAACGTTGGCATAGCAATTGCTTCTAGTGCTGCTTGAGTCAAACTTGTCAAGCTGCTTTCTCGAATTTTCGCACTCATATCTCCTTTTCGCCGTACAATGCCGCGTAAGTGATGGATTACCTTATTCGCATTTGAGATAACACGTGGAGCTAACAATCGCATAGCACCGTTAGAGAGCCTCTCCGATGACGAGTCGACCGGAGAATCTATCCCTTATAATGACGCGAAAGAAGCGCATGACTCAGGCGCTGAAAATCAGGAAGACAACGACGAGGACAATGAGGAGGATGAGGAAGGCGTGTTAGTTACAATGCGTAGCGACTATCAACGATCAGCACTGACAGGAGCAGCTATGTCGTTGAAAAGATTCTCGGCCACGAATTTGCAAAGAACGTGCGCAGGACCATGCATTCTCGAATAGCATTGTCGCAAATGGATTTGCTATAGCTAACGCCGGGATAGGGAAATCTCCTCTTGCAAGTAAAATGGAAAGGATACGATGACCCTGCAGATGAGACTATGGAACCAGAGGAGAACCTGCTGTATGTTACTGCATGTTTCTGAAATCTGGTTTACATACCAATTGATTTCTACTAGAGAGGGCGCAAAAGACCTAGTTGAAGAATACTACTGCGCCCAAGGTGGTCGGCCAGAGAAACCCCAACGGGGGAAGCGCAAGTCCACTACTGGGCCAAATCAAGCACACGGGAAAGGCGAACCTAAAAGGCGAAGAAAATCACGCGCGGAAGCTGCCACCAAAACTCCGGATGATGACGATGATGATGATGATCTGCCTGACTGGGTTCCCCGGTCCAAAAATTGGGAGAATGAGGTGCAAACTGTTGACACAATTCTGCGTGATGCAGAAACTTCGAGTTTAATTGCATATCTCCACTGGAAGAACGGAAAGAAGTCAAAGGTCTCACTTGAGACATGTTACGAGAAATGCCCCAGAAAGGTAAGTTTGCTAGTTCCATATATGCTTCTAAATGCTAATGTCTACAAGATGCTCAAATTCTACGAGGAGCATTTGTGAGTTGTCTAATTCAAATTATGAGAAAACCCATCTGATTCTAACTGTTCGCAGGGTTTTTAAGGAAGGGTGAATTTATTATTATATATCAGCATTCATCCTCAACTTCCTTTTTCCTTTGTTTCTTGCTAGGCTCGATGTGTAATAAGTTTAATCTAGGAGCCTTGCCTAATTTTGCGGGGGGTTCAGAGGCAGGCTCTTCTCTAGATAATACTGTTTGGCCACAGTGCATACATGGGCGTTCCGCTGGCGTTTTCAATTTATCTATGAATCCTGTTGGCAATTGGTATATCTGGGAAACGAAACCAACAAGGGAAGAGAAAGAGAAAAAACAAAAAAACAAAAATGGCCTACAATTTCGCATTTCAGTGTTCGCCAATATCCTCGCATCATTCTGAACTAACAGCGCTGTACTCCACCGCCGATGATTGTATTTTTTAAGCTCACCCGATGTAGGTATGCTGTCAGAATTTCAGGTCTGTGTCCCGTCAAGGCCAGCCGCTCTTGCCATTCCAAGGTATTCCCATCGGCTGTTAAAGGCGTCCGAGCCATGCTTCTTCAAGACTCGCTCGATGGTTCGGGTTTCTTGCGCCTCAAAACACCGGTCATCTTCAGCTGTCCACACTCCAGGCATATGGTCAGGAATACCCTTTCCTGCCATCAGATGGTCTAGGACCTTATCGGCAAGATACGGGTCCATGCTAGTGCAGCCTAAAGCCTCGATGATTTGCTCCTCGTTTTCTGCTCTCCCTGTTTGCAGACGATGATCAATCCATGTGTCGATGTCTTGCTCTGGCAGCTCTTCAGGTTCGGGGTCTGGGCTTGAAGGTAGGAAAGGCAGTTCTAGAAACAAGGGATCGATTGCGTTTTCTGGACTATGGTCCACAGACTCCGCTTCTTTGGGCTGTACAGGTTCTGATATTTTCGTGGTCGAGTCCTGAAGAATGCGCACCGCGTTATCAACTGAAGTTGCGGGTATTGGAGTCCCTGTCATATATGCAGATTTGCTTTTTTGTGCGTGTATCATAATAGGAGTTAAATCGTTAGGTGTCTTGTCGATCGCTCTCTTTTTTTGACTCGCAATGTGCACTTTATCCAATTCAGGATCAGAATTGTATTCCGCTGTACGTTTCCGTTTCTTGTCTCCTAGATGGCGGATAACTGGAATATCGTCCTGCGATTGCTTCTTATGTGGCCTTGGTGAGTTTTGATCTCTTAGTGTGTTTTTCAGGTGGCCGTCCTTCTTAGCGGACGCGAGGAGATCTGGTTTCGGCATACCCCCCGGGCGTGGGCGCCCACGAAGCCTTCTTATATACCGGTCACGATACGATTGAAAAGTGTGGCGGGGGTTCTGTAAAAAGAAATGAAACGTAAGACTCCAGAGACGCAATTCACATGAGAATGGTATCAAACATCAATTACCTGTGCGGCTAGTTCCTGATATATTTTATTGCCTTGTATGGGGGCGTTTGAATCTTTCTCATACGGTACCATCCGATCCCATAGCCACTGGTCATCTTCCAAAGTGTATGGGATCGGGCGGCCTCTGGATGGAATATTTGTTGCCCCAACAGGGCGAGGTGCGGATGGTCCAGCCCTGTGATCCTCAAGATCCTCTAGCTTTCCGTTATGGACGGACCATTCAACATACCGATACGAATATCTGCCAGGTACTTAGCAGGAGTATAAAACAATTTAACGAAAAGGTTAGGGTAGAAAACTCAAGAAAGATACAGTCAGCTTACGTGTCTGGTGGAAGGTTTTTTCTAGCATGGTCAACCAACTTGACATCTGCATCCTTCTCATGGAGTCTTATGGCACCACCATGTTGCTATATATGCCCGTCAGATGAGAAAAGACGCCAAAGAATTGCCACCAGCGGTAATTACCATAATAAGATCTTTGAATCTAGCTCGTTGGGGAATATTGTGTGATAACCAGAATTGTTTCCCTTCGAAAAGTAGACTAGGAGAAGGCATAGAGCCGTTCTCCCCCATGGCCCGTTCCCTAACTTTCGTGCCAGGACTGCTATGTCCTGGCTGCTACAGGAATCCAATCGTCCCTGAAGCCGGTTCACATTAAGGGTTGTCCGACCGCGTGAGTAGTACGCGTGATCACGTGTAAATATGCCGGAGAAGGGAGTATATTGGCCATCGGCCCACTGAGCGGAAAATGGTACTCGGATGGTTTTCAAGAGCGCCTCTCAGTAACGGGACTATTCCCGAACCTTAAAAGCTGGGGTTAGTCGCTTTCTCTGATATGGAAAGAACTATGGGTCGTGTAAGGAGAAGTAATATATCAATTTGCATTCCTACGCTTATGATGTGGGAGAGAACACATATTGCCACAGTCCTGGGGCGGTAGCTCAGTGGTAGAGTGGAAGATTGCAATAAGCTGATCCTTCAGAGCGGCTTGCAACCTATCTTTAGGTCGCCGGTTCGAACCCGGCCCGTCCCTCGTTTCTTTTTTGTTTTTAGTGTGTTTTCCTCGGATACTCCTTTTGTATTAATTAATTACCTTAATCAGATTGAAGAAATCAATGTTAGCGGAGATATATATATTTGCCCCCCCCCTTCGTTTTCTACTGTATTGGTTGCCTGAGAAGAAATTCATAGTAATGTGAAATGAGCCCAGTATGTCACGTGCAGATAGTAAATATCTCTATACAGTCGATCCTTGCCCTTGGACTTGCTTTCTTGTTCCTCCTCCGTATATATTGTCGTTAAATGTTTTCCCCATTGCTATGTCTACCACATAGTGCCAAGTCTTGCAATCATTCCCTCCGCGCAGGCCAATTAATGGACCTACTGCGTCCAATATACAGCTAGTGAAACCAAAAGCAACCATGGGGCTCCTGAGGACAATCGCTCTAGTGATTTTATGCATTTCTGGCTTCACGTTTGTCGCGCTTTTTGGGAAGCTGCCCGCATTCCGGTAAGGCGAGGCGGTATATTCTGAGTGCAATAACTGATGGAATCCTACATAGCAAAACCCCTATTGGCTTACTGCATAGGGTTGTTTGCATACACATTCCAAGTGCAATATCTTCCCTTGATTCTCGCCTATTAGGCGGTCGGCTCGTGTATTGTTGGAACACGTCTGGTAGCTATATATTACACGAGAATCATCCACTTGTCCTTGTAAGACACTTGACGAATGTAGAGCCCCTCCCAACAACGCTCTGCTAACATCCCTGACAGATATTCTTTGCGTCTCTCCTCATAGCAGGACAATCTATGTTCATCCCAAGCGCATGGCCTAGGGTTTCCACGGCCCATAGGATCTGCATGCCCATTTCAGTCATGTTACCATATATCTTTCTCTATGCGAGCATTGTCACTAAATCTTTCATCACCACCAAAAATCACGCACAAGAAATGGAACGATATCCTTACGATAAAGTTATCTTTCACCCAGGCCGCTACTGCAGCACATGTAAGTTTATCAAGCCCGCAAGGAGTAAGCATTGCAACTTCTGCAGAGCATGCGTTTCTCGGCACGACCACCACTGTGTATGGTTGATGAATTGTGTCGGGTTGAATAACTATCGCTATTTTCTGGCCCTGATTTTATCACTCTCTATAATGCTGATCTACGGTTCATGCATTGGCTTCTCCCTGCTGTCCCAGTCATGGGAGAACTTGATCCCGCTAGACTCACCGTTGCGGACAACAAGGCAGAGTTGGACAATGTTTTTCAACGTTTGGACTGTTGTTATTTCGATAGATCTCCGTATTGGAGGTGTTACATTATTGATGTTCATGACGGCACCATTGGCGATGGCTTTTCTCGTTTACCACGCTTACCTTATTTGGGCTGGTATGACGACAAACGAGAGCGCAAAGTGGTCTGATTGGAAAGAGGATATCGACGATGGTATGGTATTTAAATCCACCAAAGCAGAGGCCTATGGAAACTCGCCTTTGCTGCGCGAATACCGGAACCCACAACCATACTGGCCGGCGAATAGTGATCAGGTGCTTGTCATTACGGAACATGAGCCACCGAGAGTGGGCTTCATGTTCTCACCCGATTCCAATGAGATCCGACAACCCAATGACGGGGAGGCACCTGTTGATCAGAGATGGGCACTAGTGCGCAGTATGAGGGAGATTGACAATATCTATGATCTTGGATTTTGGAATAATCTACGCCACTCCTTTGGATTACCTGCTCGACGGAAGATATCATAAGACTCTACGCACTTTACTGTATGGATATATTTACCTAGGAGCTTGACTAGACCCTTTGAGTATTGCTAGTTGCTATGCTGCTTTAGAACGTTTTCTTTTTTACACGAGGGGCAGCCGGCCAATCATATTGTGTGGTATACTTGTGGGAGTGGGCGGGACCGGAGCCGGAAAAATTCACTTTTCATTGCGGCGTTTCTGTCTTCCCCGCCTAATTCGTTATCCTAAGTCAACAACTTTTGTCGCATAGTGTTTGTGAGCTTCCTCACAGGCTCTGCCAAGATGGCTGACCGGACTGCTGCGGACATGAAGCCAAAATGTACCCCAGCAGAGCTCATGCTGAAGGTTATCCTGACGGGAACCTTAAGCCACTATGAGACTCGTGGGATGATTGACGATAAACGCCTTGAGCATATGTTATCTGCCGGGAAACAGATATTGTACAAGACACACCAGGAGAGCGATGTTAGGTAGTACTCTCTTCATTTCAGGTCGCTTTGATCGTTCTAATGTCTATATACTGACTTTGTCCTCATCACAGACATAATCTTGGCCTGTCGCCAGATATTTGGCAGGGCTTCACTGATGTTTTGACAAAAGCTATTCCCGTTCTAGAATCACAGTCTTTTGCGTGGAAGTGCCCTCCGACTGCGAACTACGACCATTCATCCTCGAACTTGATAGCCTATAATTACTTTTCGCTTGTCAAGGATATCGAACGTCTAAATGATTTGTGCACAATCGCCCGCAACCTCCTCGCGACAACGAAGAAAGCGCAGAATATGGCGGCAGAAAAAGGATTTGACCAAAGGATTCTAGCATTGGTAGACACGTGTGTTAGGGTAACTGCCCGCGGCTTTGATGGCGAAACGAATGCACGGAACGAAGAGCGTTGGCAGAAAGTGGTTAACCTCTACAAGCGCTTGTTGATCACATGTCTCCAGTTCCTGCACAACTTCATCATGCACAATGAACAACGGAAAATGGTACTCTGGTTGGATCTTTTTGGATACCACTCCACTGGGGATTCGAATATAATCCAACCGAGAGAGCCGCTTGACCCGGCTGGTGGTCAGCCGGAGGGGGCGGCGCCAATCGTCAAGACTGGTGAGAGAATCGTGAATCCCCCAATCAGGGCTCTTTACGACCAAACGGCAGAAGACTTGCTTTTAGAGACTATTTCCAACTTCCCGAGAGAGCCAGCGACGATCAAAGAGGAGGCAGCAATGCTACTTCTTGCAAACATTAAAGACCACATGGAGAAGCTTCTTGGGCGCGACCTGACAGCAATTCAAGAAATGGGCAAGGATCCAGAGCAAGTGAAAGAGATCCGTGCTGCTCTTACGGCGATACTAGGTGCAAAGGTTGACGGATTTTCGGACCTTCAAGATAGAGCGAAAGATCTACCACCCGCCCTTCCCGAAGACGAGCCGCCACGCAAGAAAGCGATACTTACAATAGATCGAAGCACGACGGCCGGATTCCCACGAATTTGTTGGGCTGACCTACCCGACCTTAATGCCTATGGTGCCCTTGCTGCAGGGGATGCGACTATCATGGAGGAGGATACAAGCATGCCGCGGTCGGCTCAATCTGCTGCGGAAACGCTCCAGGAAGCAAAAGATGAGCTAATGGCACGACTTCAAGAATCGTCTCAAATTGGTGGCGATGGTGATCAGGATTATGACACCGGCGATGCAGGAACAGTTGGCGACGACGACTCACGTAGCCTTGAAGCTGTAGCAGACGGAAGCATGGAAGAAGAGGAGGAGGATGACGATGAGGATGACGATGATTATCGCGGCCGCCCAGGCGATCAACAACGGGGTCTATTGACGGACATCCCTCTGGTCCTGGGCCCTGCGGAGATAGAAGCGCTTCCGATGATCATCCAGGCTGGTATTGTTGACAGCTTCGGACTAAAGGGAGGAGAGAGAACTGGCTCAAGGAATATGCAGGCTCTTAGATGCCATATCCTGCTCACTCAGGAGACAGGACGAAATCTACTTCGGGAACTCTTAATCTTCATTGCCGCATGGGATTTACCCGACGATGAACTCTATTTCAAGATGATGGTGCAGATCATGGACGCAGTTTTAAGGAACGGCCTCATGTCGCACGCCTACTCGGACTTCGGCCAACCAAAGGATATCATCTCTCCAGCTCAGGCAGTTGTTGTTAAGATTCTCACACATATATTTAGAGCTAAATACTCACCCGCTTCCGTCACAGGATCAACACAAGCCAACACAACAAAGAACCCAGCACCGCTTTCTAGGGTCGATATCCTCACAGTCCGCTACATATTCACCATCTTCCGTGGCAACATCATCCCAGAAACTTGTGCCTTAATCTACCTTCAAGGCCAAATCCGTGCTGGACGGGCGCTCCCCGAGGACTTCCCGCTGAACCTGTGGGATATGGAACGGGTCTATGAGGGTGTCTACCAGTTCCTGGAATTTTTCGCTGTTCTTACTGAAAACAACGACTGGAAGAACCTTCTTGTTAAGTGGGAGATTGTCTACGATTTAGTAACCTTGATCAAGGAACTTGAAGCAAGTATTCCCAAGGGACAGCTGAGTCAATTGTCACTAGGGGCCCGTAGCCCTTCAAAAGAGTCCCAGCCGAGCACAATCCCTGGGCCAGTTGCGGTTGAACGGCCTTACGACCCGAGTGATCCGGACCCTGTTGATGGCGGTGCTCCTTCTAGAGCTGAATCGCCTCCGATAACCGAAGACCCATCTGAATTCGAATGGAGGAATCTCAAGAAGCTTGTTGTGCTTGTGCTTTCGTCCCTGGTGTGGAAGTGCCCAGAGGTTCAAGACCAAATCCGTCGGCATGGCGGCGTCGAGACCATCCTGTCTTGTACGAACTTTGACGCGCACAACCCCTACATCAAAGAACATGCAGTGATGTGCTTAAAGTTCTTGCTAGAGGGTAACCGCGAGAACCAAAAGCTTGTGGAAGAGCTAGAGGCACGTGAAGTAGTAAAGGACGAGAACGGGCTACTAGAGAGGAGCGGCTTCGAAGCCGTTATCGACAAGACTGGCAAACTGGCAATCCGACCCAAGGACGGGACTGGAGACAAGAGATGATCTGTAGACAGACGGCGACTTTTCATCCTTTCTTTCAAACAAACATCGAGAATTAGCATAGACAGACTTAAGCATCATGCAATGATAATGGCCTCATGAATCATCAAAACATATCATGATAATATTCTCCCCAATATGAAACCCTCATTCATCACCAACACCCCTAAACTCC